TCTACTGGCTGTTCCTAATAGTGGGATGTTGTTGTTTGCTGTCAAGTCTGAATGGACTCTCCAGTGGGTTTTCAGACTCAGTAAGTCCCACTGGAAGAGATTGCCCCACCCACCGGCAGAGCAGCTGTAGGTTTGAACCGCCTTTGGGATTGCAGTGCAGCTTCTGGCCACCAGCTGGAGCAAATAGTTTATCTGTTTTCAACTTTATGGGGAAACACCATTTAGCCCTTCAGAGTGGCTGTACCATTTTACATTTCCCATCAGCAGTGTACGAGGGTTTCAATCTCTCCACATCCTTGTATGTAGCATTTGTTGTTTGCTGACCTATATTGAACTTTGCTATTGGTGCTGGGATGAGATGATGTCTCATTGGTGTTTTAATTTGCATCTCTCTAGTAGCTCAAGATATTAAATATTTTCTTCATGTGTTTGATGACTGATGTTCTCCTCTACCAGGATGTCCCCAGGGCCACATGCTGTGCCAGCCTTGAACCCCAGAAAGGTGTGAGTAGTCAGGTGAAGCATAGCCACCAGCAGACAGTGGCTGTGTTTCAGAAGTGGGTGGATGGAATCCTGGTGGCACAATCGTTAAGCACACAGCTGCTAACCCAAAGGTGGGCATTTTGAGTCCAGCAGCTGGGCAGGAGAGAGATGTAGCAGTTTGTTTATGTAGAGATTTAACCTTGTCAGCAAGCCAGAGGGCAGATGTGCTGTCTTGTGATGTCAGGAAGAATGAAAGTGAACACAACGGCAGTGGTTTGGGCTGTGGGGAGTGCATTTAGATTTACATAGACTTCACATGGTTGAATTCACATGGAATGCAAAAATTCAATGAATATGGAATAGTAGTTGGAAAGTAGAATGATAGAAATTAGATTGGAAATAGAATGACTGAATTTTATATTTTCAATGATTTATTCATTGCAAATACCTATTTTAAAAAAGCACAAATGCAAGACGAGAGAAGATGGCGCCGAAAGCCAAGAAGGAAGCCCCTGCCCCTCCCAAAACTGAAGCCAAAGCAAAGGCATTAAAGGCCAAGAAGGCAGTCCTGAAGGGCGTCCACAGCCAAAAAAAAAGAAGATCCGCAAGTCACCCACCTTAGGCAGCCTAAGACGCTGAGACTCCGACGGCAGCCCAAATACCCCCGGAAGAGCGCTCCCAGGAGAAACAAGCTTGACCACTATGCCATCATCAAATTTCCCCTGACCACTGAGTCAGCTATGAAGAAGATAGAAGATAACAACACACTTGTGTTCATTGTGGATGTCAAGGCCAATAAACACTAAATTAAACAAGCTGTAAAGAAGCTCTATGACACTGATGTGGCCAGGTCAACACTTTGATTAGGCCTGATGGAGAGAAGAAGGCCTATGTTCGACTTGATTATGATGCTTTGGATGTTGCCAACAAAATTGGGATCATCTAAACTGAGTCCAGCGGGCTAATTCTAAATATAAATTTTTCTCACCATAAAAAAAAAAAGCACAAATGCATCTAAAGTTTAGGAATTAGATTGACTGCATCTGTGGAACTTCTGCAGTTCCTTATCTATGTACTGTTCTAGCAGTTTTTGAATGATCTTCAGCATTTTGCTTGCATGTGATATCAGTGATATTGTTAGATAATTTCCACATTCAGTTGGATCACCTTTCTTAGGAATCGGAACAAATATGAACCTCTTCCAATCCATTGGCCAGTCAGCCATTCTCCAAATTTCCTGGCATAGACTAGTGAGTGCGTCCAAGGCTGCATTTACTAATTGAAACAAGTCAATTAGTATCCCATCAATTCCTGGGACCTTGTTTTTTGCCAGTGCCTTCAATGCAGCTTCTACTTTCTCCTTCATTGCCATTGGCTTCTGTTCATATGGTACTTCCTGAAATTTTTCAGTGTCAATCAGTTCTTTCAAGTACTGTGATTCTGTGTATTCCCTCCATTTTCTATTGATGCTTTATGGGTCATTCAATATATTGCCCAAAGCATCTTTCAACATTGTGACATGAGGCTTAAATATGTTTTTCAGTTCTTTCAGCTTGAGAAATGCAGAGCAAGTGCTTCCCTTTTTATTCTCCAATTCCAGCTCTCTGCATATTCTAATAGTTTACTTTGTCCTCCTGAGATGCACTTTGAAATCTTCTGTTCAGCTCTTTCACTTTGACATGTTTTCCTTTAGTTTTGGCTTCTCTACACTCCAGTGCAATCTTTCGAGTCTTTTCTAACATCCATTTAGATTTTGTCTTTCTCCTGTGTTTTTGTAATGACCTTTTGCTTTCTTCATGGATGATACCCTTGTGTCTCCTTATTTCCTGACTGTTGGTACCATGGGTGTTAATTGTGACAGTATCAGTCTTCTCTCCATCCATCACGATGCTGCCTATCAGTGAGGTGGTAAGAATATTTGTCTTCCTGACATTGAAAAGCAATCCATACTGAAGGCTGCATTCCTTTATCTTCTTCAACAAGTGCTTTAAGCCCTCCTCACTTTCCGGAAGCAAGGTTGTGTCATCTCCATAATTCAAGTTATTGATGAGTCTCTCTCCAATCCTGATGCTACACTCCCCCTCATAGATTCCAGCTTCTCGGATAATTTGCACACTATACAGATTGAATACATATGGAGAGAGAATACCACCCTGGCACTCCCTTCCCAATTCGAAACCATGGAGTCCTCCCCTGCTCTGTTCACACAGCAGCCTCCTGGTCCAGGTGTAGGTTTTGTATGAGCACAATGAAGTGCTCTGGGATTCCCATTTTTCTTAATGTGAGCCACAAATTGTCATGGTCCACACATTCAAATGTTTTTGCATAAGCAAGAAAGTACAAATAGAAATTCTTCTGATATTCCTTAATTTCAGCCAGCATCTATCTGACATGAGCAACGATATCCCTGGTACCATGGCCTCTTCTAAATCCTGCTTGATCTTTCTGGCTGAGGCTGAAGAAAAGGAAAATAAATCCATAGGAACCCAGATATGATCTTGAATCCATTCCATCTGAATTTCATGATAATCTAAAGAGTAGATTTGAGGCATTGAACACCAATGATCAAAGACCAGATGACTTATGGGATGATATCACAGATGACCATCCATGAAAAGAGTAAAAGATTATTACTGTAAGGTCGCCGAGGAAGTACAGAACCCTGGTCATCCCAAGAAAGACCGTTTATTGAGAAGAAACTGCTGCGCTGGCTCTAAAGTAGAGAAAATCAGCCACTTGGAGTGGCACTTTATATTTTCTTAGAAGGAAATTGGGAGTTAGGATGTTCACGGCTGCTTGGTACAAGACAAGGGAGCAGGTCGAGGGTCATGGATAGTTATTCCTTGGAGAGGAAGGTGAAATAGTTTTGCAGCTCTAACAGAAATACACAGTGTTGCAGCTGCTTCTTTGATCATTACTGTGGCTTTTCTGGGGAAAGACAGGGAGAGCAGCTCAGCGCTCCTAATAATTACAAATACAGAGGAGAAAGAAAACTCAAAATGGATGTCAAAAGAGACTCTGAAAATTGCGCTAAAGTGTCAGGAAGCCCAAACAAAAGGGGAAACATGCCAAAGTAATAGAGCTGACCAGAAGCCTTCAAAGGGCAGCTCAGGAGGACAAAGGATTGTAATGGAATGTGCAGAGAGCTGGAATTGGAGAATAAATACAGAAAAACCTCACATAAGCCTCATGTCACAATACTGAAAGATGCTATGGGCAATATATTGAATGACCCAGGAAGCAACATAAGAAGAATGAGGGAATATACAGAGTCATTGTACCACAAAAAACTGACTGACACTGAAAATTTCCAGAAGTGTCATAGGAACAGGAGCCAGTGGCAATGAAGGAGGAAAATGAAGCTGCATTGAAGGCATTGACAAAAAAATAAAGCCCCAGGAATCGAGGTGTCAGCTTGTGCAAAGATTGCAGCCTGTCTTGGCAGACAGCCTCCACGGGCTTTGTGAGTTTAAGCCATTTGGTGTGGGGAGCTTGGGGGAGCTTTCAGTCGTGAGCCGAAAGGATTGCTCATGAGAGGCCGGTCTTGGTCCTATAAGGCCTGTGAGGGAGAAACTGAGGCAGATGTAAAGATATCTGTTAATGTAAAGATGAACAGATGCAGAACTGGGGGACAGCTGTGCCAGGAACAGTGTAGATTGCTGGTTAGTGTGACATGGCCCTCTAGGGACCTCTCTGCACGAGCTCAGTACCAAGCATGTTCACTACTTCATGTGAAAATCAGTGGGATCAGTGCTAATTTGTACTTCTCAGGGTTTTCAAAGGAGAATTGTGTTGTTCAAAATAAAAACAGTTAAACAGAGGCAGCTTGGAGCTGCCATAGTGGGTCATACCCAGCACTGGTCTCTGAGGTTCTCAGCCTAGCCAGGGTGTTAGGCCCCAGGGCTGAATCCTAGGGTCTCCCAAATGTCTGGTATGGGTCAGGCTTTAGAGTTGGATTCTGGGGTCTGCTGGCCTGGCCTGGTGTGGGTTAGATCCCAAGGTTGGTTTCTGAAGTCTTCCAGCCTGTTAGTTGTGGGCTAGACCCAGGGCTGATCTCCAGGGTCCCCAGTTGGACCTAATGTGGAAAGACAGATGTCTGCATAGGGAAGGTTGGGTGCTGGGAAAGGACTCACAGCTCTGTCCCTGCCCCAGGAGGTTTGAGGTTACCCAAATAAGTGCAGGTAGAGAGGACAGAGGCCTCAGAGCAAGCTGGAAGAGGTGATGGGGTCCTGAAGATAGGGCACCTAAGAGGGTTCTCCAAGTCCCAGGAGCATGGTTAGAAGTACGGGTGCTGCAGGAACAGCGGCACGCTCGTACCGGGTGCTCATGCAGCCCTTGAAGGTCTTAGTGACTGAAGGGCAACTCGAGAGTCTGCTAACATGCCCTCTACCTTGGATGAGTTCCTCTCTTCATGGTGGGGCCCACTGGCTGGTTTGAGGTGGGTCCTGCTGTGCTGTGAACGGTGTTCAGCATGTCCCTACTGTCCCTGTGCAATGCAGGCTGCAGGCCAAGGAAGGATGCAGAAGTTTCTGGCAATGCTGGAGGAGAGCAGGGCCAGTTGCTCCCCCTCGGCAGAGCTGGTGGCCCTTGCGACCAGGCTGTGCAGGGACCTCCGGGACAACCTTGCCCAGGTAACGCCCTTGGCAGAAGCTGTGCTGGAGAGCCCTCTGCGGCCGTACCTGCTGGACTGCAAGGAGGTGGCCCTGGTGTGTGCCCTTGTTCTAGCCCAACAGGAGCAGTTCCCGGCAGCCCGCAGACTCCTGGAGGTAGGACAGCATGCGGGGGCGTAGAGGGGGAGTCCACTGCCAGAAGGACCCATGGCCAGAAAGGGCTCGCTCTGTTCACTCGGCTCTAGCGGGCTGGGTGTCCTGCTCTGAAATGTTTAGGTCCATCTCTGGTCTGCCAGGAGTAAGGAATGATGTGCAAGCAGGGATGTGTCCTTGGAACTGGGGTTGCAGCCCTGCCTACAGTCAGTGAGCTGGGGACAGAAAGCATCTAGAGCCTCTGGAAGAGAAGGGAAAGTCTGGTGGCACCAGGAGCTGAGTCATGGACAGCAGGACATACTTCATGGGGAGAGGACACTGCGTGCTGGTCCTGGTCTTGGCTGCACATGCTGGAGCAGAATACCTTGTCCAGGGCTGTTCTGATGTGGGCAGACAAGATTACAGAGCTCCCAGGGTTCCAAAAACATTGACCAGATTGTGTCCTTAAAGGCCAGTCGGTGCTGCCAGTGAGTGGCAGAGAACTTGGGACTGGCTGCACCGTGCTCCCTGACTGTCCTGGTGAGGATGGTGGACACAGGGCTGAGCTTTGTGGGTGCTGGGTCTCAAGGTCTTGGGTGAGATGGTTTAAGGTCACCATAGGGTACTGGGGATTCCTACCTTGACCATGTGATTCCACGGGCCAGATGGAACCCACGGAGCACTCACCCTTCTGTTGACCATTCATCAGGTCATCTGTAGCCTTGTGCGGGTTCAGGCTAGTTCGAGGTGGCAACCCTTGGAGACACCAGCCTTGGCTCAACCAGGCTGTCTTTGGCAGGAATGCCAAGTGCCAGGAGGCAGTTCAGAGCTGGTGGAACTCTGGAACGACATCCATTACCGCCAGACCATGAAGGGGCTGGGTGTGACCACGCTGACCCCAGTGCAGAAGTTCCGATGCAGAAAGAGGTGTGTATACTCAGGTGGCCCCATGGGGCCGAGGAGTCATTCAGATAATGCAGAAGTGGGGACTCGGGGGCCCTGACCAAATGGAGCACACACAGCCTAGGTTGGTGTGAGGGGCTGATTGGGGGCAGTCAGGGTCACCCTGAGAGACGGCAGGCTAAGTTGGGCATCTAAGTGACATGCTGGGAGCATCACTTCTGAGCCTGCAGGATCACAGGGTCACAGGGTGAGGGAATTTTGGGAAGGCTGCCCTGGGACAGGGTCAGATATCTTCAGAGATACCAGTCAGAAACCAGCTGTCTATACCAAGTGGGAATTACACAGAGCACTCAGACCCAGAACACAAGGAAAACTGAAGATGCCAGAGACTACTTGGGGCCAGAAAGCCAGACACACACACATATACACACACACCCCCTCATGGGTGGGAGTCAAACTCAGAGTCTCAGGGAACTACATTGTGGGCAAGGGGCTGAGCAGGAGGAGGAAATACACCTGGAAAAAGGTACTGGACTGAGAGATCCCTGGGGATGTGTGTGAGAGCTGACATAGGACAGGGACACGTCCAGGGTGAGTACTGTCCCTGGGGCTGTGCTGTGAGGGCTGACACAGGACAGGCACACGTTCGGGGCAAGTACTGTTCCTGGGGCTGTGTGTGGGGGGGTGTCACAGGACAGGGACATGTCCAGGGTGAGTACTGTCCCCAGAGCTGTCTGTGAGGGCTGTCACTTTGCACCAGGCTTTCCCCTACATCTGCATCTGGAGATGGCTGAAGTCCCTGCAGTCTCAAGCTTGTGTATATTTTTGTGAAAAGAGAGCATCTTAGCCTCCCTAACTTGGGGTTAGGAAGGCTGTGCCAGCAAGAAGCCAATGGTGGGTCCACTTTCTTAAATTGCAGGGCCATGGGTAGGGGATGAATTTGTGGGGCCTGTAGGTAACTTCATGATGTGGTGTTTATTGTGGAGTTGGAGTGGAGTCATAGCTGACCTTCCTGGGTTTTTAGAGGCAGTTTAAACACAGGGGAGGAGACTGCTCATCTTTCTCCCATGTGGCAGCAGATGGATTTGAACTTAACACCTTTGGATGGCAGCACAGTTTCTTAACACTGAGCCACCAGAGCTCCCTAACATCATGATAAACGGAGAAAAGAGTGAAGTTATGAAAGGTCTCCTTTTCCTTGGATCCACAGTCAACATTTATGCTTGAAGCATCAGTCTAGAAATCAAAAGATGCATTTACACTTGGGATATATGCTGTCAAGCTCTCCAGAAATGCTAAAGAGCAATGATGTCTGTTTTATGACTGAGGTGCACCTAATTTAATCCATGATCTTTTCAATGACTTCTGTGTATCTGAAAGTTGAACAGTGAGTAAGGAAGTATGAGGAAGCATGCGTGTCTTTGAACTGTAATATTAGAGAATACTGACTATTCCATGGGTACTAAAAACACAGACAAGTCTCTTTTAGAGGCAGTACAAGCAGGGTGCATCCTTAGAGGCCAAGATAGTGAAAAAGTCTCACCAACTTGGGGCATGTTGTCAGAAGGGGGTTGAGTCTTTGGAAAACAAAGCATGTTGGAAAAGCTGGTTGTTATATGTACTATTGAGTCAGACCAACTCATAGGTGACCTTTCAGTGGGTTTTCAGAGACTGTAAATTATGTGGCTCCTAGGAGATTACCATAAAAGCCCTAAGCATTTCTTACATGTCCATCCTCAAGACACGAGAGGCCATCCTAAGGTCCAGCTGCAACCAGGATTCACAACACACTAGTCCTCAGCCCTCACCTTACAGGCGTGACCAAACATTTCCGTATTTTATAATGTGGCATGCCCAAACGCTGGCTGTCTCGGGGCCAGAGGCCCCCCAATTAATCTGGACTTGCCAGATGAAGTGAACAGCTGGTGGATTTCTCTCACCCAGCATCTTTCTCTCACTGAGCAGCTCTCAACCTCCTGCCTTGGGTTTAGCAGCACAATTCCTTACCAGAGCTGCAATATGAATTGTCACAGCAACTAATAATGGGCTGAGCAAATCAGAGGGTGGGGATGACACAGGGTAGGGCATGGTTCAGATCTCTTGTTTACATAGTCACTGGGTCATACAGCACTCAACAACAACAACATTCTGGGACCTTTTCCTCCTCTCCTCATCCAGGTATCCCCCACCCCCTACCCTCTGTCCTGAGGGTTTGAGGGGTAGGAATTTCCCCAGGACTGTTCGCTTAAAGCTGCAAGACTTTGCCTCCAGGGTGAGCGCCAATCCGGACAAGGCCCAACGGGTAAGAGGGGACCACCTCCTCCATGAAGCTACCCCAGGTCCTGTGACCCCATTTGCCAGGGTGCAGGTGGACTAACCTGGGACTCATAGGATGGTTTCTGCACAGTGTGGCTTGTCATTGGTAACCCAATCTCACATGGCCATGAAGAGAGGACTTAGTCCTGAGTCCCTCAGAGAGTCTGTCCCCAGACCCTGTCCAGAACAAGCATTTGGCAGGTAATCCAGCCAGAACCCATCCTGGGCTGTGGGCAGAGAGGACAGTCTGGGGATCTTTCTCAGTGTGCGAGCAGTAAGGGCTGCTCTGTGGCTTCTCCAGGAAGCATGCATGCAGTTCTGGGTCCTTTGCAGGAGGCCTTGTCATCAGAGACAGAACTGTCTACTGAGCAGGTCTACAACTGGTTTGCCAATTACCGCCGCAAACAAAGAGCCCGTCAGCAGCATTCAGAGACTCTCCAGGGGACTGCAGCAGGAGACCTCAGGATCTGGAAGACACACCAGGAGCACCCCCAGCCCTCAGGTGTGTGGACAGACCTTTGTCAGATACGCAGCCAGTGGCTTAGAGGTTCTGGTTTCCACTGTGTTAGTCACTCCTCATGCAGTCAGGTAGGGTGACCCTGAGGCGGGGGCACCATGTGGTGGGGGCTAAGGACCAGGATGTGCTGTTCCTCCATGGAGCAGCATTAGACCTACTAGCCTTTCCATTAGCACCATAGCTACTGTGTTAGCTCTTATGCCTCAATGTGCCTGTAACCACCAGGCTGTTGTTGTTAGGTGTCAGCAAGTCCACTACATTTCATAGCAACCCTGAGAACAACAGATCTTAACCCAGCCTTCTCCCTCGCCATCTCTGATATGTTCTAGCCCACTAGTACATGTCTGTCTGCCTTGTGGAGGGTCTTCCTCTTTTTCTCTGACTCTTCACCTTTCCCAGAATGGTGCGTTTTTCCAAGGTTGGCACCTCCTGACAACATGCCCAAAGTCTGTGAGACCAAGTTTCACTGTCCTCGCCACGTGGGTTCTACTTCTCCATGACAACCTGTTTGTTCTTTTGGCAGTTCATGGGTTCTTGGTACTCTTCCTCAACACCACAACGCACGGCATCAGTTCTTCTGTCTTCTTATTCTTTGTTCAACCTTCAGTTGTTGTTGTTACTTGCCGTCGAGTCGCTTGCGACTCATAGCAACCCTATGTACAACAGCCCTAAACCCTGCTCTGTCCTGTGCCAATCGTATTGTCTCTGACACTCCCATCCCGATTATCCCAGTCACTGTATCAATCCACCTCATAGAGGGCCTTCCCCTCCTGCGCTGTCCCTCCATCCTCCCAAGCATGATGTCCTTCTCCAAGGACCGGTCTCTCCTCACAACATGTCCAAAGTATGTTAGATGGAGCCTCAGAATCCTTGCCTCCAAGGAGCCACCCGGTTTAACCCTTTCCAGGACGAATCTGTTTGTTTTCCTAGCAGTCCATGGTACTCTCAATATTGTTCTCCAGCACCACAGCTCAAAGGCATCAATTCTTCATCTATCCTCCTTGGTCATTTTCCAACTCTCTGATGCATAACAAGTGATTGCGAAGACCATGGCCTGTATCAGATGCACCTTAGTCTCCAGAGAGACACCATTGCTCTTCAGTACTTTGGAGAGGTCCCTAACAGCAGACTTTCTCATGGCAATGCACCTTTTAATTTCCTGGCTACTGGTGCCGAGAGTGTTGACTGTGGAGCCAAGCAAACTAAAGCTGTGAACGATCTCAGTCACTTCACCATCCCTCCTGATACTGCCAATTGTTCCAGTGGTGAGAATGTTTGCCTTCTTGACATTGAGCCTCAGTCCATATTGGAGGCTGCAGTCCTTGACCCTCTGCAGCAGGTGCTTGAGGAGGAACTGAAGCACCTGCTGCAGAGGGTCAAGGACTGCAGCCTCAACTTTCAGATATATAGGAAATAACTGAAAAAATGTCATGGCCTGGAACTTTAAATTGACAATGTTACTCATTAGCACTTGGGAGAGGTTCCATGATGGTAGGTTTTCCCAGTGCAACCTGTCTTTTACTTTCTTGACTGCGCTTCGACCATGGGCATTTATTGTGTATCCCAGTAAGATGAAATCATAGATGGATGACTTCAGTCTTTTCTCCATCTATCATGATGTTACTTGTCCAGTGGTGAGGATTTTGGTGTTCTGCGTGTTGACATGCAATCTGTATTTTTGAATCTGTAATTTTAAGCAGAGGCCGAGTGCAGCTCAGGTGTCCAGAAGCCCAGCCTATAGTTTGTTGTCTGTGCTGTGCAGGTGAGGAGGTGGCTGAGGATGGCCTCCTGTGGGGATGGCAAGGGTCCACGCACCATCGTTGGGCTGTGTGGCTGCATAGTATGGACCACTTATGGTTGAGACAAAGACAGATTCAGAAATGCAAGCTCTACACACATCTGCTGAGAAGACCAAGAGACCTGCAGAAAAGAGACCAGCAGCTCAAGGTGGCTTTGAGGATCCTCCTGCCTGACTGTGCTGTTCTCTTGGCAGGAGATGAGACCAAGGCGCCCCCACAGCCCCCCAAGGGCATCCAAGGACCATGCACATTGCTTGTCCCCACTCTGCACTTTGCTGGAAGTGAGAAGCCAGAAGCTCCCAGGTACCACATCCCCCATGCTGCACGATCATATCCTGTATGATCCAGCCCCTTCCTCTTCCCTTGGGCCAAAAGACCAGGCCACGGACACTGGGCTTAGGGTGGGAACAGCTGAGAACTCTGACAGTCAACAGTCGTGGATGCAAGGGCCCAGGGGACATGCCAGCAAGGGGTCACGTGAGGAACAGTTGAGGTGGTGACCCCAATGCTGCTGGTGTCCACTGGATCCTGACTTCTGGTGTTGAAAGAGAAGAAGAAAGTTTCCTGACCACCTCCCAGAACTGGGGTTTGGAGGGACACTAACTTTTGGTCATTGTGGTTGACTTTCTTCTAGCACATATTTTTAAATGATGTTGTTGTCAGCATTGAAGGTTCCTGCGTGCCACGTGCTGCTCTAAACAGTTCTGAGTCCTGTGGTCTTCCTGTGCTGGGGTCCTGCCAGATGTGAGAATAAAGATGGTTTTTTCTGTATCCATAGGTCCCTGCAAAGTGGAGAGGTATACCAGGAGGAACCTGGACAAGACCCTGCCTCTTTTGCGTCCATTTGCCCTGGCACTGGGCTCTACCCCCTGGAGGCCAGCAGCAGAGTGATGGACCCATCCCTGGGCACTCCAGCATCATGGCTCATGCCACTAGCACTGGCGTCCTCTATGGAAGGCTCTTTCCAGACTGGACAGCTGGTGCATGACCAGGAGCTCAACTTCTCACTGTCTAGTCTAACCTCTGCTTCAGGTGTGTCAGCTCAAGACTTGTCACTGTTTGCTGGCTCAGAGCCAGTCTTGTATGAGATGCCGCAGGCTTGCAAGGGCCAAGTTTTCTCCTGGAATCCTGTGTTGTGATGAGCTACAGACCATTGCGGTTTGAGTAGAGACTGCCCACAAATATGTCATTATTTCCTTATTTCTCTAAAAAGAAGCCAGTTGACATGGGGAAAATAACCAGAGTGGTTACAAATAGTTAAGAAAATATTTTTCATTCAGCATAATGTGTAAAGGGGGAGGAAAGCAGGAAGCAGAAAGGGGGAGGGCTGAGATTTATAAATATAAGGTGGTCTTGTGAGAGTTAGAATCGTGTTCTTTGACCCAGCAGGGATGTTAGCAAGGGGCAGGGTGAGGCTGTTGCTCTATTAAGGAGAGTGGCCCAGGTATTAACAGGCCTTTCTAGAGAACTTGCATTTCCTTTGGAAATTCTTCGGTCCTGGAAATGCTAAGGAGATGTACTGCACTGGGCAAGTACTGTCAGGGCCCTTTCCAAAATACTTAAGAGCAATGCTTTTAGTCTGAAGACCAAAATGTGCTTAATTCAGGCCACAGTATTTGCAGTCACTTACTATGTCTCTGAGAGCTGGACAGTGATAAAGGTGATGGAAGAATTGATGCCTTTGAGATGTGTGGTGTTGGAGAGGAGTACTAAAAATCCAATGGACTGCTAAAAGAACAAATATATATTTTGGACAAAGTGCAGCCAGAGTGCTTCTGGAAGGCAAAGATGGTAACGCTTCATCTCACATACTTTGGGCATGGTGCTAGGGGATCCTGTTTCTTGGAAAAGGACATCATGCTTGGAAAGGTGGAGGGTCCGCAAAAGAGGGGAAGGTCTTCAATGGGATAGATTGACACAGTGACTGGAGCTGTGAGCTCGAGTGTGTCTGAGATGGTGACGATGCTACAGGATAGGACAGGGTTCAGATCTGTTATTCAGAGAGTCATACTTGACTCCATGGGACCTAGCAACAACAACACGAAGTTATAACTGTAAAAAAGCAGATTTGAAATGTGCAGAATTCAACCTTGTTTTGTCTGGAAGAATGACGTATAGGAAAGTCATTGAGACCACTGGTGTACCTGTTTCTTCCTCAGAGAGAGGCAGTCAGGCCCCAGATGATCTCCACCTTCAGGAGCATGGACTCCAGGTGGCACTTTCCACTACCCTGGCCCTGCTCCTTCTTCCTGGAAGTGAGTCCTGTAATTTCTCTCCTACAGGACTTTCTGGACCAGCGAGCAGGAACCTTCAGGGCATGTATCAGGAGGGAGGTCCAGGCCCCAGCAGTGGTCACATGGAGCTTCAGACAGAGTACTTCCTGGCATCACACAGACCACTGCATGTTCCTGCTGCCGTCGTCCAGGCCCAAAGGTAGGCAGTCCCCAAAGAGCTCAGTGTTTGGGTAACCTTTCAAGAGAACATAAGTAGGAACACAAGGGTCAGTAATTTCTTATCACCTGCTTCAGACTGAAATCAGACCCTTCTTCCCTACTGGTGGCCATCATGACAAGCTGCATCTCCTTGACAGCACTTCACTGGCAATGTGGTGAGCATCCCTCACCACCAGGGCCCTTGCACATTCCTTTAGAGATTTCTGAAAGTGGTAACAGTATTCCCCAGCTGCTTCTACCAACCGAGGATGAGTTTTATCTGAAATAGAAAAAAAACACTCAGAAATGTCTGAGGGACCTGGTCACCATCCTCTGGCCTGTACTTCTGAGGTGCCTTGTCTGTGTTCAGGGACCTCAGGACAGCACTGGTGACCCAGTCACCTCAGCTCAGCATTTTCTTTTCTCCATGAAAAGGGATATTGAGGTTTCTGAGCAGCACAGTGTTCGGATTTTGTCCAAGTTGTGATTTCAGTGGGGCTTTCAGTGGCCTCAGAGGCCTTGCGGAGAATGTGCTATTGACAGGGGTCGATGCCACAGACAATAGGAAGTGGAAGCTCACTGAAGCTTCAGTGGAATTGGATGGCAGTAGAATTTCTTTTTTTTTTTTTTTGGCAGTAGAATTTCTGAGTCACATTGCCATTTTAGGATTAACTCTGAGGAACATCCCACCTGTTTTCTATAGCTATTACATCATCTCGCATTCTCACCACAGCTGGGTAAGTGCTGTGGAGCTGACTGTGACTCACTGATCTTGTGAACAGCTGTGAACCTTGCCTTCCCTTGTGCTGTCCTCACAATGTGAGCTCAGTGCTGTAGTCTGTCAGTCCATCTCACTGAGGGTATGCTGACCCTCCGTCTTTCCAAGCATGATGCCCTTCTCCAAGGACTTGCTCCTTACAACCCTGCCCAAAGTATGTGAGAAACATCCTTCCTTCCAAGAAACTTCAAGGAGTGCCCTGGTTTCTCCATGACAGACCTATTTGTTCTCTAGATGCATAGTATATTCAGTACTTTTCTCCAATATAATACAACTCAAAGGCATCGATAATTCTTCTGTCATCCTTATTCACTCTCCAACTTTCAGATGCAGAGCAAGTAATTGAGAAGACAGTAGTTTAGATCAGATGCATCTTAGCTGTTAAACTGGCACTGTTCTTTAGTACTCTGGAAGGGTCCTTGATAGTATATTTTCCCAATGCAACTCATCTTTTGATTTGTTGATTGTGAATTCAAGTAAGATGAAATTGTTGACAGCTTGAATCTTATCTCTTCGCCTCGTGTTGAGGACCTAGATTTTCTTGATGTTAAGATGCAATCCTCATTGAAGGTATACTCCTTGATCTACTGCAGCAAGTGCTTGCCAGTCTTTACACGTCGCTACCAACTGTTTTCCTTTCTTATCAAAGCATCCTGCTGACAGGCCAGTGGACTCTCACTGTGGTTTTGATTTGCATCTCCCAGAGTCTCTGGGTGCCGAACTACTAATGGAGTAGCTGGTGGTTCACCCAGGCCTAGAGGTACCTTGGAAGAAAGGGCTGACAATCTGCTTCAGAAAGAGCATGGTTTGAAAACCCTGTGGCTCAGTCCGCTGTTCTCAGCTCATGGGCTGCAGTGCTAATGGCTAATTTGCCCTTTGTCTATTCAGATCTTTTACTTTTTTGGATGTTTGTGTTTTGGTTAAGTTGTAGGTGTTCATCTTATATTCTGAATACTGACATTTTATTTAATACATATTTTTAAAAAATATTCTCCTACTCTTGAGTTTGTCTTTTCACTGTTATTAAAGTCCTTTGTTGAACAAATGATTTTCTGCTGTTGTTTTCTAAAGTCCAGTATATTGTGTGGGATACTTTTTGTTGTTACTAATGCTTTCAGCACTGTAGCTAAGAATACATTGTTTAAAAAACAGACAACCCCCCCCCCTCCAAACAGTACTCCTATATTTTATTCTGGGAGTTTGTTTTGTTTACCACATAGTTCCTTGATACATTCTGTGTTGATTTTTATGAAAGGTCTTTCACATATGTTTTCCAGTTGTTTCAGGGTCATATGTTAAAGAAAAAGCTGTTATATAAAAAAGCTATTATATCAATGCTGTTCTTAAGCAATGCAAAGAATTAGCACCTCAGCTGGCCACAAATGTATTGATTTGGAGATACTCAGTTCTGTTTTCTGGGTCTGTGTGTCTGTTGGCTTATCAGTGCCACACTGTGTTAGTCACTGTCACTCCATAATATGCTTTAGGATCAGGAAGTGTAAACATATATACTTTGTTCCTTGTCAGTATTGGCTTTTCTGTTTGGAGCCCCTTGCAATTCCATATGTGAGTACTGGTTTATTTTCATTTCTGTAAAGAAAGCTATTAGAATTTTGACTGTGACTTTGTTGGATCTCTAGAGTGTTTTGATCAGTATTAATATCTCAACAGTACTATGTTTCCAGTCCACTAACATGAATTCCTACTAATAGCAACCATACAAGGCAGAGCAGAGTAAGGTTGTAAATTTATTTCCCAGGCTGTAAATATATAAAGGTTGCCACGTCTCTCATGGGCTCCTGCTGGGTCCACACTGCCAGCCTTCCAGCTCGTGGCCTGGCACTCCAACAACTGCACCACATGACTCCTCTGACTACCTAGGTCTTCGCAGCATCATGATGGGTGGAAGAGATTGAAGTGGTTAACGATTTCAGCTTGCTTGGTTCCACAATTAACACTCTCAGTACCAGCAGTCAGGAATTCAAAAGACAAGATACATTGAGAGAGTTTCCTGTCAGTTACCTCTCCAGAGTGCTAAAGAGCAATGAAGTTAGTCTGGAGACTAAGGTGCACCTGATCCAGACAATGTCTTTGCAGTTGCTTGCTATGCATCTAAGAGCTGGGCAATGACTAAGAATGACAGATGAATCAATGCCTTTGAATTGTGGTACTGGAGAGGAATAATTAATGTTATCATGGACTTCCAAGAGAACAAACAGATCTATCATGGAGAGGGTGAAACCAAATTTCTCCTTGAAGGCAAGGATTTTGAAACTCTATCTCACATAGTTTGGGCATGTTGGCAAGAGGGACTAATCCTTGAAGAAGGACACCATGCTTGGAAGGGTGGAGGGACAGTGCAGGAGAGAAAGGGCCCAGAGAAGATGGATTGATTGATACAGTAATTGGGGTAATGAGGGTAGGTGTGTGAGAGACAGTGAGTGGCTCAGGATAGGGCAGGGTTCAGAGTTATTTTTCATAGGGTCACTATGAGTCAGTCAACTTTATGGTATGTAACTGAAGTATTTGAGTTAGCTTAACAAACTCCTTCCTAACCCAGGAATCAATTCATTTTTCGTAAATGCCTTGCTGTCCTTGTTGTTGTTGATTGCCTTCGAGTCGAGTATGACTCATACTGACTCTATAAACAAAAGGCTTGAAGCATTTCATGCACAGTTTGAGGGGAGAGCATCTTTGTGTTGTCAAATGGATCCGGTCAATTCTTGCCTTTAGTATTACTAAGTGCATGGAGACTGCGTCCTTTACAGATTTAATCACTGTGGAAGAGGAGGAAAGAAAAAAAAGTGGGGAGAGGAGAAAGGGTTGTGGGAACAGAGGGCAGCCCAAACTGTTGAAATTTTAGAAACTGGCAAATAATCTTTTGTGTAAAATCTTTTTTTCCCCCCATGTGGGTGAACTTTTATTTAATTTGTCCTCAGAGTTACTATGTGGTTAAGTTAGAAATTTTGAATTTTTTTTTCCATTTCTGTACAGAACAGCATTCAGATTCTCAAGCCAATATTTTCTTCTGTGAAACTATTTTTTTTTTCTCCTACTTAGACTTTTACAACTTTTCAGCCTCTTTTCTTCTCGGTCAAGTTGAGAGGGGAGGCAGTTAGCACAAAGATAATCTTTTGGCTGCATTGGCAGATGCATTTGAGTGTAGGCACTGTTTCTCCATAGACATCATTAGTAGATCTTTAGTCATTGAGAAGCAGAACACCATACTACAGAATATTTAAGGAAAGACGGAGTGTAGATAGACACATGACAAGGTTTAAAATTCCTGACACAATGCGCTTTTAGAATCTGCTTAAATAGCAGAAGCTACCAACCAACAGCTAGCTGAACAGGATTTTTTTTAAGTTAGAACCTTGTGATTGAGGCACTACATGTATACAAAGTCAAGACTACTCTGGTGATTTTTCCTTGACAATTGATTTTCCTCTCAATTGCTTATAAAACAAATACTTCAACTCAGCCTCAGTCTCTCTTTCTTTCTTTAAAAATGGTTGCAGCCTAAGTCCCAAAGAATTCTCTTTTCTGGCAGAAACCATTTCTTTGCTTGCTGCTGGTTGCTTCTTCCAAATGTTGAAGACTGGATGTTCATGCTGGGCACCCTTGTGCTCTCTGGACTTGAATATCAATGTCCTAGATCTGGCTCAGGCCTGGACTTTCCAGCCCATTGTCTCATCGTGTTGTACCTACTGGGCAGTTCAGTCAGAGCTCCATACGGATGCCCAGAGGTGTCAGGACTATTACTCCAAGGGCTGTGAGTAGGAAAAAGAACTGGTGGGATTTCTTTTTCTCCCATAAGAACTTGAACTTGTCCCACACGACGTAGTAATGTCTCTTCTTGATCTTGTCTTTCTTTGGGAACTGTGGTTGTAGCTGTCGGCAAATGGAACATGTTCTTTTGAAGTTGTAGCTACCACAGTTGTTGTTGTTGTTGTTGTTATGTGCCGTCGAGTCACTTGCAACTCATAGCGACCCTATGTACAACAGCCCTAAACTCCGCTCTGTCCTGTGCCAATCGCACTGTCTCTGACACTCCCATCCCAATTATCCCAGTCACTGAATCAATCCACCTCATAGAGGGCCTTCCTCTCCTGCGCCGTCCCTCCACCCCCCCCCCAAGCATGATGTCCCTCTCTAAGGACCGGTCTCTCCTCACAACATGTCCAAAGTATGTTAGACAGAGGCGCAGAATCCTTGCCTCCAGG